CGTGACTTCTGCACGAAGGGAGAATGACGCGCAGAACCAGAAATCAGCCGCCTTCGACAACGCTGACATCATCTGGACAACCAGATTCGAATTTCTTCATTTGGTGACGAATATGGCGCACAAATCATCTGCAGAGTCGGAAATCTGCCAGAGTATTACCTACTTGGTAATAGCTGCAAGCAGAAAATTGACACGAGAACGTGGATCGTCGGATCGGTGCGGAAACAACGGCACGAATGCAGCGGAGACTACACTATGGAAAATCGTCATCATGGAGACAACATTCATGACCAGTGATTGCAGAATCGACGCATCTTCTGACTGATGTCGATAACGATCGAGTTATTTTGACGAAGTCATCTTCGTTAAAAATGGATCGACATCAACACAGCGGATCTTCACCCAAGAAAAACAATGGAGCTGCGTGAAGACATGTTCTCCATCCATGAGATACTTTATCTCATAAATTGAATCGACAAGCTATGGGATTGCAGAGAAGTAGCCGTTTTCTCAAGCAATATTCTGGATATCAAAGTTGCTGCGAAGTAGCAGATTTCGCACGCAACGACGACGCAGTGAACCCGTCTCGTCAAGGCCAGCGAGACACTATTTCGTAACAGGAGCTGATCGATTCGTCTTCATCAAGAATCTCAGCCATCCGAAGTGATTGATTGGAGCAGTCTCAACATCAACCTCACGAGGCGACACACCAATCATGCGTCGCGATTCCAGGTGTTAATGACCTGCGTGGAAATTTTTTCCGTGCATGTCACGATGCTTGACAGATTGAGGAGTAATTAACCTCTAATCTGGCAAGTACTCGTTCACTAGCGACCCTACGACACATGCATTGGAGGCGATTCTACCAGAAGCCGAAGCGTTACAAGCATCAGCGTAACTTCGACGATGCAGGAGAACGTCAAGCAACACGAGGTGTCAACAAATGAGGGAGATACGGACTACTACAACACGATCACGCGCTCTACCGACCGTACATCGGAGGCACGGATGAGCATACCAAGAATTGCTACCCGTGGATACATTGAGGGGAGAAGCAAATTTCTCTTCACACCCTCAAATGAAACAATCACCGGCAGCAATGGAGCAACACATGTGTACCAATGTGCACGTGTTCCTGGTAGTTACGCCTGTTATACCCATCAGGAACACTCTACTGGGAAGAGGGGGTTGATGGATTCTCCTTCAACCGGTACGAGTTAAGAGAATTCTCTGCAGCAGCTGCCGCCGTCGCCGTCGTCGCAACCGCCGCCGCCGCCGCAGCAAAAGCCTCGACACAACAGTCAAAACCAAATCCTGATGGATAATTCTCCGCTCAATGGAGATAATGCTGGATTATATTCCAGTGGATCGTAAAGTCCCGGCCAGGCACAGTACTATGATTTCCAGCTAGTGGGAAGGAGATACCACTATGCGAGGAAACAACACCCTCAAGAGCGGAAGATATTTGCTCTTATGAGGATGGGAGGACCACGGTACTCTACCGGTATACAAGTCCTCATGGCCTATGGCTTTCCTTAAAGTCATAAAACCTGCGTCGCAACCAATCCATCATCAGCACCAACTCCACGGAAGCAGATAGGCGTGGAATGGAGCGCCGACGCCACTCCGGATAGTGGACTCCGCGTATCTCCAACAACACCCCTGTTTGCCGAAATGGAGCAGACTTCAACACTGATGCTGGGTAGCTGAGACATCTTTGACATCAACGCTACTTCAAGGACAGCAACAGAATGAGACAACACATGATGGCACCAGAAGACCTATCCCAATATGTGCGCCAGACACCGATGCCTACCGATGGCCTCCGTGCTAAACTGGACGTGCATAAGGTCATACTGGATTGGCTATCAGCAATGCTCATTTGGAAACAGGAGAGGATTACTTGGGAATACCCGTAACGTTCCCAGATATCCTAACCCATCACCATGGGATATCTACGCAGCTGAGATTCCTTGCTTGAGCAACCACCGAGGGAAACTACCTTGGCGCCGATTCTGGACGTTACCAGCTCCGCGTTTGTGGTACCAACCCTTCGCATGGTTCTGAACACAAGGGATACGCTGAGCAGCACTTCGCATGCGCTGTTGTACTCAAGGCAATGTGAGTAGCAGACCGCGTGGTGGACAGGGTTACTACAAGTGATTCTGCTCTCCATTCCGCAGCACGACGATGCCGAATGGGTACGACTCGCGACAACACCAAGGCATGGACCTGCATTCGACAGAAGCTGCATGTAACGGATACAACACTGCTACAGAAGCAGTACTACGACACAACTGCCATACCACCAACACTTGGTGATCTTCACACGTGGACCAGATGCGGGTAACAGCATGCACAGATCGGACAACATAGCCACTCATCTGCATGTTACAGCACACTGTTCCAACCATTCACATCTCCAACTCCGACTTGCATCTGCCCGTCCTGGAGTTTGCCTACAATTATGCTCCTGACGCCGCCACTGGACAGACGCTGTACTTCCTCTGTTACGGACGCCACCCGATCACACCACAACAGCTAACCATATCAGCCACAGTCCGACTGGCTTCCGATTTCATCGCCATCGTCCACCATCTTGTACATCGACCACACAAGCGCCCTCTTGGACATCCAACATCAGCACAAGCACTTGGCAACTCATCACTACCCTTCTCGAGACCATAATCTTGACATCAGCCAACTTCCATCCAAGCTTCAACCTTGCTTCTGCAGGACTATCCTCTTTGAAGCAAAGGTTACTTCATTCACCTTCCGCTTCCGCGTACCAGCCACTTGGAAGATCCATAACGCCTTCCATACCAGCTTCTTAAACCCTATCAAGACCAAACACGCTCTACACCGAATGCCAACCACCGTCGCCGCCCGTGTTCATCCACACCATGGGACAACTACGTGCTCGGACACCGTCGTCGTCAGAATGGCACTCTGGAGCTTCTTCTTTGTTGGAAGGATTCTGATACTTCTAAGGTTGCGTCTCTGAACTCGACATGGGTAACGCCCGTCGTCCTCTTCGCGACTACCTTGTCAAGCAGGGTGTTACTTCTACCACCCAGCTTTGAGGGGGGGAAGTGTGAGAGTACGATCCCGTTACACTAATTTCCCCTTTTCATATTTCCTTTCTATTTCATTCCTCTTTTTATCCTCATTCATTTGGTCTTTATCTCATCTCATTTGGTTTCCTATTCCTCATTTTCTATTATCCTTTGGTTTATCCTGTTATTATAATTATATCACCGACCAGGCTCGGGATGTACTGGCGCGCTATATCTAGCGTAATCCTGCCGTAATCCCTTAAAGCCAATTGCCTCGCGTGGCTATACGCATGGTGATTCTATTTCTAGAAGGGTCTATTCCCTTTGGATAGGATAAACCTGGTTACCTGATGTATCTTGGAAGTATAAAAGCACCTTGTATTGATTGATAGGGCAACATTGAGCAAACCTTTCCTCGGGACATTCGCTCCTGTGACACACTCGCTCCTCGTCTGTTGCCCAGTCTAACAGTGAGGTTGAGATCTACGCCGGTGCCATGGCGGCACAGGAGCTCCGCTGGCTGACCTTATTGCTTGCTGACTTAGGTGAGCGGCCCTGCTCTGCCCCGGTCCTGTACGCTGAAAACAGGGTCATGATTCTCCTGTATCAGGAGCCTCGACTGGAGGGCAGAGTGAAGCACATCCAGCGGCGGTACTTCCTCCTGCGCGAGCTACAGCAGCGCCGTCAGGCCCGCGTAGTACACTTGGCCTCCGGTCCCAACACAGCTGATATCTTTACTAAGGCACTTGCGCCTAAAGATTGTCAGCGGCACTGTTTGTAGCTTGGTCTAGTTCCTGTAGCTCCTCACTTGCTAGGATATTGATTGTGTACTCCTCTTATATATATTCCTTCTTGATTGGCCTTGTGGTTTCTCTCCAGTGGCCGGACTAGTAGTATCTCCTTGGCTTTATCTTGTCGTTTTTGCACTCTTGTTGACTGGTCTTCGGACCCTAGTCTCATAGGTTGGACTAGTAGTGCCGCTCTGAGTTGTTTGTCTCTTTCCAGGCACTGCCACTTGTCCAGTCTAGGGGGTGTGTCAAACATATTTGTATATGTTGCTGTAGACTAGATAGGGGCATGCCTTAGCGAGTACAACAATTTAGGTCAAAACCACCTTGTACCCTGTTTTCTAGTCATTCCGCTACTCTGATAGAATGTACCCTTCGAAGTGCACAAACAGTTAGACTCTACATATCCTCTTATGTTACTATATAAGTCTTGTATTCCTATGCTATAATTAATCATTTGTTCTCATATATCAGTACAAGGGTTTAACTCTAAGACTTCCGCTGTGCTATCAAGCACTCTATTACAAGGACTTAGCATTCTGAAAAGATCCTATGGCTATTGTCAGCCCAACAGCTACTGAGGCGGTTAGTTCTTATGTTGATGCATTCTGTAGTTTGTGCTGTGTTTCTGTAATTGATTTTGGTTTTAGAAATGGGGGGGATGAGATCTGATGTGACCCAATAGCTGGGCTTTGGGAATATGTAGTATCCCATATAGATTTGAGAACTTCGTGAGACGTTGGATTTTAGCTTCTGTATCACGTATACTTACACTACAACGCAACAAGCGGTTAGGTGGGAATTCGTGTGTCAGCAGTTGTGTACTGCGCGGTCCGTCGTCGGCCGGCTTGGTCAAGGGGATTCTGATCGGTCCGAACCGATCGGTATGTCCGCTCGTTTGCCCGTCTGCTTCGGCTTTCCACACCTGGAAAGATGGCTTCACCAACCAGCAACACGGTCATAAACGGTGCTATACGGTTTAATAAGTTTTTTTAGGAGATATGGTTCGGTGATGCTTGCACATCACCTTCATTGGGTTGATGGTTCCATGGTGTGAGTTTGGGAATGTGCGGCTGCGGGTGACTTCGGGGCGAAGAATGCTGTGGCGACTCTTGACTGCGGTTGGCGTGGATCTACAACTGCGTGTAGAACGGGAAAGCCGCGTAAGAACGGCCGCTCGCTACTGTAGCACATACCAAATTGTATTCTGCTCATTCGCCTGCGCGAGGCAAGCGTGACTAGCAGGGAGTGCAGGAGGGTCACGACAGCCAGTGGCTGAACTTCTCATTCTCGCCCTCAAGCCACTTTTGAGGCGCCTCCGAGGCGAAAATAGACTAATTCTCGCCCTCGATTCCTCCCGCGAGCAACCCGTCACGCTTCCGTCTCGCCTCTACCATCGCTCCTCCTCTCCCTGCTCCACTTAATCCCCCACGCCTTCTGCCCTCGCACCCTCCGTCGCGTCCGCGTCACGAGCGCAGAACGTTCATAGTACCGCCGCGTGGCCATTGTCTCGACTCAAACAGACAGGCCCGTCTGCGTGGGAAGCGTTAGCGATGTCAGCCTGCGACCAGCTGCTAGCCGCAGCAGTAATGCTTGGGTATCAAAGCCTGTGATGAGAGTTACAGCCTGGGTTACAGTTCGGGTTACAGCTCAGGTTACAGCTCGGGTTACAGCTGGGGTTACAGTACGGGTGACAGCTCGGGGTGAGAGCCATGGCGGTTCTCCCCTCCTGTCTGCTCTCCTCCGCGGCCCTTCCCCCTCGCCTGCTGCCCAGTATCACCGAGATTCAGGAGTCCTGTTTCGCGCTCGTCTATAACGCGTACGGCCTCCGCCTCGACCAATTCCACGTCGACAATCTCACGCTCGTCTCCTGCTGGGTCCCCGCATCTCGCGGCGACAAACCCGCCGCATCTGGCGCCGCGAATCCCGCCGCGAATCTCGCCGCGAATCCCGCCGCAGTTCCCGCTAAACCGCCTCTACTGCTCCTGCACGGGTTCGGCGCGTCGTCGCTAAACCACTGGATCAATCAGCTCCCCGCGTTTTCCCGCCATTTCGACCTCTATATTCCCGACCTCCTGTTCTTCCGCGGCTCGTTCTCCCGCAGCTCGCGGCGCGACGAGCGCTTCCAGGCGGAGGCGATGATGGCGCTGATGGACCAGCTGCGCGTCGAACGGTGCGCGGTAGTGGGCGTGAGTTACGGCGGGATTATCGCTCACAAGTAAGTTGCGATGCCCCACTGCGGTACGGTGCGGTTCGGTGCGGTGAGCGGCGGTTCCAGGGGGAAGCGTTAAACGCGCTGAACAGCTAGGCATGGAACGGGGCGCGGTGGTCGTTCGGCGTCAGTTACGGGGGGATTATCGCTCACAAAGCAAGGTAGCGGGGCCAGCCTGGGGGGGTAAAGGGGGGTAAGGGGGGACACTTCTGGGTTTGAAGTGGGCTGATGGACGCTGAGCGAGCACGCGGCTTCAGGCAGTACTTGGCGGATTACTGCCTGAACTTTGGAATTCGGTTGGTGGGGATGAAAAGGGGGGGGTAAGGGGGGGTATTTGTGGGTTTGCAGTGGGCTGATGGGCGAGCTGCGCGTCGAATGGTGCGCGGTGTTGGCGTGAGTTACGGCGGGATCGTCGCTCAGAAAGGAACTTGCGAACCTGGCTTGACGCCACTTTGCAATACGGCAGGGTGGCCACAATACTCTCTGCGGTGACCTGTTCCTCGCATCTCTGGCGCGACTGCGGTGGTGCTTTCATATGACCAGCCGCGGCGGTTCTCAACCATGCATGATGAGTCTATTTTTGAGGCGCCTCAAAAATAGACTGGGGTAGCACTTTCATATGACCAGCCACGGCGATTCTCAACCAGCCCCCAGGATGGCCACTTTCTTCCCTGCTCTCCCCCGCCAGTCTCCCCTTTCCCCCATCCATTTCCCGGTCCCTTTGGGGTGCTGCGACAGTGTCATTCAGACACAACTCCAACCTCCCCAACCCCCAGGCATGCGGACACAAACCCCCCTGATGTTTTTCTCTCTCACCTCTCCCACCTCCCCTCCCCCACTCTCCCCCCCCCCTTCCACCTCCCATCCCTTCCCTTCCCCTCTCCCCAGAATGGCCACACTGTGTCCCGCACGAGTGACCAAGCTTGTCCTGGGTGGAGCGGGGCTCATGCTAACCAAAGGGGAGGTGCAGGGGGTGCTGCGGCAGTGGCATGCGGACACACCCACGGACCTCTTCCTGCCTGCCGAGCCTCGTGGCTTGCTCCGGCTGATCAGGCTTGGCAACAACGAGGCGCCGTACCTCCCAGACTGGCTGCTGCAGGACGCCCTAGAGGTACTGCTGCTGTGTGGCTTTAAGAGTCAAAGGTTGAGGTACCCTTGTGTGGCTTTAAGAGGCAAAGGTTGAGGTACCCTTGTGTGGCTTTAAGAGTCAAAGGTTGAGGTACCCTTGTGTGGCTTTAAGAGTCAAAGATTGAGGTACCGCTGTGGGGATTTAAGAGTCAAAGATTGGGGTGCGGGGAGGGCTGGGCTGCACAGGAGAGTGCTTTAAGAGTCAGTGGTTGAGGTGCGGAAAGGGCTGCATGGGGGAAAACGCTGGTAGCGCTTGAGCATGTAGGTGACGTGGCTTTGATTCTCTGGATGACGTGGTTTTGCTTGTTGGTGACGTGGCAGGTGCTGTTTGAGAACCGGGCGGAGAAGGCAGGGCTGCTGGAGGAATCGCTGAAAGCAGCCGAGGCGAATGCAGAGGACCCGGGGAGCATTGCTGTGCCACACATGGTAAGAGATGGTAAGAGATGGTAAGAGATGGTAAGAGACGGTAAGAGATGGTAAGAGATGGTGTGTGCAGGCAGTTTGGAGAACGCAGGGCTGCTGGAGGAGTCGCGTCGAGGGCAGCAGAGGCGAACGCAGAGGAAACTGGCAGCATTGGTGTGCCTTCAATGGTACGCGTGCGTAATGCGTGCATGATGTGTGCATGGTGTGTGCATGATGTGTGCATGATGTGTGCATGGCGTGTGCAGAGTGTGTGCATGGTGTGTGCAGAGTGTGTGCAGAGTGTGTGCGTGGTGTGTGCATGGTGTGTGCATGGTGTGTGCATGGTGTGTGCATGGTGTGTGCATGGTGTGTGCATGGTGTGTGCATGGTGTGTGCATGGTGTGTGCATGGTGTGCGCATGGTGTGCGCATGGTGTGCGCATGGTGTGCGCATGGTGTGTGCATGGTGTGTGCATGGAAACACCATGAGCACGTGAAATAATCAAGTTTCATGTAGCAGCATACATTCCCATGCCATGCCATGCGACGAGATGATTTCACGTGCCCATGGAAACACCATCCTGTTGCCCTCCTCTATCTTTAGACCCCCCTACCATCAAATCACAGCACACCCTGCTTGTGTGGGGCGGCAGCGACCAGCACTTCCCTCTCATTATCGCTCAGTCTGTCAGTTCCCGCCACCCCCTCCCTCCTTCTCAGTCTCCTCCCTCTCGGTCTCCTCCCTCTCGGTCACCTCCCTCTCTGCGCCCTCCCTTCCGGTCTCCTCCCGCCACAGGGAACCCTACTTGTGTGGGGCGGCAGCGACCAGCTCTTCCCTCTCGCCATCGCGCATCGCATGCAGCAGTGAGCCCCTCTCTATTTCTTCTGGTAACTTCCAAGCGAGTAAAAAGCGAGCATATGGGAGTCCACATGAGGTAAGTTGGTTCTCAAATACCAGCTTACCGCATGCAGCATGAGCCCCTCTCTACCTCTCCCACACTTGTTTAGGCGAGTAAAATGTTAACCAGCTCCTCCCTCTCGCCATCGCTTGTCGTGCATATGACAAAGAGAGGTTTCCCTGCCTGGAAGGGGCAGGGAAGCACCCGTAAACCTCTCTTTGCCCCTCCCGCCCTGTCCCCATCCCTCACGCCTTCCTCCCCCACGCAAGCACCACACGTTCGCATGCGTGCACCGTGCACATGCTTCCCTGCCCCTTCCCAGGCAGTGCGAGGACCGTGTTCCCTTGGTTTTTTCTTGCGCCCTTTCCCACATAACCTCCCCTGTTTCGCCCCTTAGCTCTCTCACTCCTCGCTTGAGTCGAATTTAAAGCCATGCGTCCTCACGCACACATTCCCACGCTGTCTTAGTTGGTGAAACGATCATGCTACCCGTTGAATCAAAATATACCTCCACGCGTGCATGCACAAAAGGCTTATATTCGTGCACACACGCACACACAAGGCTCATAGGCGACACATGCATTCCCATGCCTTCCCAGGCGGTGCAAAAATTTTCACCTTTGCCTTTTCCTGCTTCCTTTGCCAGTTCCCCCTCTCTGTTTCGCCCCTTATCTCTCCCACTCCTCTCTCCCTGTCTCCATCCTATCACTCCCCACCTCCCCACCACCACCTGCCCCCTCAGGCACTTTGGCTCGAGCTGTCGCCTGGAGGTGATTGAGAAGGGTGCACATGCCATTCAGGTGTGTGCTGTCTAATTGCATTCATGTGGCCATGTGTATGCATTGCCATTCATGCATTACCATTCATGCATTGCCATTCATGCATTGCCATTCATGCATTGCCATTCATGCATTGCCATTCATGCATTGCCATTCATGCAGTGCCATTCATGCATTGCCATTCATGCATTGCCATTCGTGCATTGCCATTCATGCATTGCCATTCATGCAGTGCCATTCATGCATTGCCATTCATGCATTGCCATTCGTGCATTGCCATTCATGCATTGCCATTCATGCAGTGCCATTCATGCATTGCCATTCATGCATTGCCATTCGTGCATTGCCATTCATGCATTGCCATTCATGCATTGCCATTCATGCATTGCCATTCATGCATTGCCATTCATGCAGTGCCATTCGTGCATTGCCATTCATGCAGTGCCATTCATGCATTGCCATTCATGCATTGCCATTCATGCATTGCCATTCATGCATTGCCATTCATGCATTGCCATTCATGCATTGCCATTCATGCATTGCCATTCATGCATTGCCATTCATGCAGTGCCATTCATGCATTGCCATTCATGCATTGCCATTCGTGCATTGCCATTCATGCATTGCCATTCATGCATTGCCATTCATGCATTGCCATTCATGCAGTGCCATTCATGCATTGCCATTCATGCATTGCCATTCGTGCATTGCCATTCATGCATTGCCATTCATGCATTGCCATTCATGCATTGCCATTCATGCATTGCCATTCATGCAGTGCCATTCGTGCATTGCCATTCATGCAGTGCCATTCATGCATTGCCATTCATGCATTGCCATTCATGCATTGCCATTCATGCATTGCCATTCACGTATTGCCATTCGTGCATTGCCATTCGTGCATTGCCATTCATGCAGTGCCATTCGTGCAGTGCCATTCATGCATTCATGTGGCCACGTGACGCACTGACACGCAGAGGTTGTGTGCTTGGCTGTGCATGTGATTCTCTCGGATTAAATGAGAGAAAAAGGGTTTTTTTATTACACGTCTTCCCTGCTCCAGCTTCCTCCAGTCCATTGGCGCACCCTCCTGCAATCTCCCATGTTGACCCCGTCCTATCTCAACCCCGTCCCATGCCCATGTCCTTCCATGTCCTCCCATGTCCTCCCATGTCCTCCCATGTCCTCTCCCAACCCCGCCCCATGCCCTGCTCCAAAGGTACACCAAGCCGCACGGTTCAACAGCGCGGTTCTCTCCTTCCTCTCCAAGGCTGGATCAGATTAGATCGCCAGCAAGCCTGCAGCCCACCTCTCTTCTCTCAAGGCTCAACACCATCCTCCTCCCCTCTCTCTCCAGAAATGATTCAGATTTATTCATCCGCAGCCCACATGTTCCTAATTAAGGGCACAACGGTACCGTTTGAAATGCCGCTTTTGTAGATTAATCCGCCCCAAGCCAAGTCAACCCACATCCAAATAAATACGCCCATCCCTACCTAACCCTAACCCCACCCCGATAATAAGTCTTCCCCAACCTAACTCTACCGAGCTCAGATTACACTGTTTTCCCCAGCAGCAGCAGCAGCGGCAGCATAACTAGCAGCAGCAGCGGCAGCACAACTAGCAGCAGTAGCGGCAGCACCAACAGCACCGCCAACAGCAGCACGGGGGGCAGAAAGGCTTGGAGGAGCTCCACACCACAATGTGGTATGCAGCAGTAGGGTGGTGGTTGCATACAGGTTTGCAAACAGTACTGTGAATGTGTAGAAGCAGCTTCCACACCTGCTCACACGTGCTCACGTGCGGTCTTTTGCAGGTCACTGTGGACACTGGCGGTTGAGCACCTAATTTTCTTCCCCTCCGCTCCACTCCTTCCCTACTCCCCAAGTTGATCTGCTGATCTGCGATTTTGTGTGCTACATGGCCATGAGTCATGACCAGGGTCACAGATATCATACGAAATCGGTCTGATGGTCTGAAAATCAGACCTGTTTTTTTCCATGCATATTATTTTTTGACAGGCTAAATTAATTCGTCTTATCGACCAGATAAGCCATAAGACTTCGTCTGAAAGTTCAGAGCAGGGCCTCCACACCCCTAGAATGTCTAGTTTTTCTGGCTAAGTGCCCTACACAAGAGATATTCCTCCACACACCCCTCACAACAACAAATTTGGGGACCCTCGGTCTGGCTTGTTTTGTTAAATTATATCTTTGATATATAATTGGTAGGCTTGGTAGGTGTTACTGAAACCTACTGTAGAGGGTACAACCCCGCTCCTTGTAGCCCTCTCTCTTCTATTCTCTCTCTTTTCTCTCGTCAACTTCCTCTCCTAGCTAAACCTGTTAAAGTGAGAACGAATAATGACTAGAAGTGGAAACCTAGAACAAATACTAGTTGGTTGTACTCACTAGAAGCATACCTCAGTCTAGCCTATAACTTCTACATAGATAATATGTATAAGTTGACACACCCCCTAGGCTAGACAAGGGGTGAAACTAAACAAGAAGCAAACAGCTCAGGGCGGCACTACTAGTCCAACCACTGAGGCAGGGGTCTGGAGACCAGTCAGCAAGAATACAACCAAAACTGAAGCAAGCCAGGGTGGCACTACTAGTCCAGCCACTGGAGGTAAGGCCACAAGGCCAGTCTGACAAGCATATATAATAGAGAGTACACAATCAGGATCCTAACAGGGGAGCAGCTACAGGAACAAGACCAAGCTGTACACAGTGCCGCTGATGATCTTTAGGCGCAAGCGCCTTAGTAAAGATATCAGCTGTGTTGGCACCTGAGGCCAAGTGAACTACACGGGCCTGGCGGCGCTGCTGTAGCTCGCGCAGGAGGAAGTACCGCAGCTGGATATGCTTCGCTCTGCCCTCAAGCCGAGGCTCCTGACACAGGAGTATCATGGCCCTGTTGTCAGCGTACAGGACCGGGGCAGAGCTAGGCCGCTCACCTAAGTCTGTGAGCAAGAAGGTCAGCCAGCGGAGCTCCTGTGCCGCCATGGCACCAGCGTAGATCTCAGCCTCACAGCTAGACTGAGCCACAGACGACGAGCGAGTGGATCTCCAAGAGATAGCACCCGAACCAAGGCTGAAACAGTAGCCCTGCGACGACCTGAGCGTCTCAGCGTCGTCTGCCCAAGAAGCGTCTGTGTGCCCAGTAAGGACCACTGGCCTGCGTCCTCCTAGCACTAACCCCATGCCGATGTACTAGCAAGATAACGCAAAACCCTCTTAGCGGCAGACCAGTGCTGAGGTCGGTGTCTGCCTGTAGCCACAAAGCGAGCCAGGATGCTGAGAGGGTATGCGAGATCTGGGCGAGTGCAAGTCATCAGGTACATGAGGCAACCCACCAGCTCTGCGTAGGGGCCACTGGGCTCTACTGGCTCCTCAGGAACGGGAGCAGAGAGCCCATGGTCTACGGGTAGAGGTGTGGGCTGTGCGGAGGAGAACTGAAGACCGAACCTCTGAAGGACCTGACGCACCAAGTGTGACTGGGTCAGAGTGATGGTGCGTGCTGCTCTGTCCCTAGAGATCTGCAGGCCAAGATAGCGACGCAGCTCTCCAAGGTCAGTGCAGGTGTGTCTCTTCAGCAGCTCAGCCTTCACAGAGGCCAGTGCGTCCCTGTCAGGAGTAGCGAAGACCAGGTCGTCTACGTAGACAAGGATGTAGAACGGAGTCTGGCCGGAACGCACAAACAGTGAAGGGTCAGCAGAGGACGGAAAGAACTGCAGGTCTGCTAACGTGGCACGTAGCGTGTCGTGCCACTCGCGGGGAGCCTGACGCAGGCCGTAGACCGGGCGCCTGAGAAGCCACTGGGTCCCAGGAGGGAAGGTACCAGTGAAGCCCTGTGGTCGGCGCAGGTAGACCTGCTCGTGTAGGCTGCCCTGAAGAAAGGCAGTAGAGAAGTCGAGGGAGTGAAGCTCGTAGTCACGCTGTGCTGCTACGTGTAGCAGCGCCCGAAGAGTGGTCATCTTCGGGGTCGGGGCGAAGGTCTGGAAGAAGTCAACCCCCTCGCGCTGACTGAAACCTCTGGCCACGTAGCGCGCCTTGAAGACAGGCGGCTCTCCAGGGGGGCGCTTCACCTTGAAGAGCCACCGACCATCGACTACGTTCACCCCAGGCGGGGGAACTGCGTCGACGTAAGTGCCGGTGGACCTCCAAGATGCCATCTCCTGCTCCATGGCAGCTATCCACTGAGAGGCCCAAGGTCCCGAGGTGGCCTCAGCGTAGGTGCGAGGGGTCGGGATGTCGAAGGCGTCTGGGTCACCCTCAGGGACTAACAGCATGGAGCAGAGATGGGGAGCAGCCTCGGAAAGGAAAGCCAGCTCGTACTGCCTGTCCTCTAGGACGTCACTGCCAAGGGCAGGAGCACCCCCGACGGACGGAGGACGGGCAGGGTCAGAGACCAGAGCGGTAGCGTAGTCAAGGCGGCGGGTAGAGGCGAAGTCAGCGACAGCAGTGACAAGCGCGTCAAGGCGCGAGACAGGAACAGCAGGGTCGGTAACAAGAGAGGCAAGGACCCGAGGGACAAGGGGACGAGCAGCACGGAGGTAGTCAGAGAACGGAGGAGGTGCAACAGCAAGGGACGAGGGAGGAGGGGACGGGAGGAGGGGAGGACGAGACGAGCGGGAACGGAGCAACATAGGGTGGGTGGGCAGGACAGGAGAGACGGGACGAGCACGGGAGGGACGGCGAGCCCAAACGTGAGACGGAGGTGTAGGGTCAGGGGACAGCGGAGGAGACACAGGAGGGGAACGAGAGGAAGACGGGCCGGAGACGAGTCCGGCGGCGGGAACACAGGACCGTAGACAGGAAGGTCAGCAGGCGGTGGGGGAGACACCGGCGCGCGGTCCGGGGAGGGAAGGCCGAGCAGGCGGAGAGCGGAGACCGGCGGCGACGGCTGCTGTGGCGGCGACGACGGCTGGGCCGGAACTCTCGGACCAGCAGAGGCAGAACGACCGTCGGCAGAACACTCAACAGCAGCACCCCCAGAACCAACACCCCCAGAGCGAGAACCCCCTCCAACACCAGCGGCACCCCCAGAAGCCGCAGGACGAACACCCTCCTCCACACCAGCACCCCCAGGGGCCAAGAGCGGCGGCGGCAGTGGCGGCGACGGCTGCGGCGGCGGCGACAGCGGCGACGGCTGCGGCAGCGGGGTCGGCGACTGCGACAGTGGGGGCGGAGGCACCGGGGAAGGGGGACGCGGCAAGGACGGACCGGGGGTACCACCAGAGTCAGCAGACTCCTCAACGGGGACAACCGACGGGAGGGGAGTGACGTGAGAGACACCAGACGGGCAGGACGAGGCGGGAGAGGGGCAGGGGCTACCGGGGAGAGGGAGCAAGGAACAGGGGGGGGCAACTGGGAGACCTCGGTGAGGGAAGCGGCGGTAGAAGGAGACGGACTCGTCAAAGGTGACGTCACGAGAGTGGAGGAAGCGGTGAGACGGCGGGTGGTAGAAAAGCCAGTCAGACGAGTCCAGGGGGAAACCGAGGAAGACACAGGGGACAGTGCGGGCAGTGAGCTTGTCCGTGCCAGAGGCACGAACGTGAGCAAGGCAGCCCCAGACGTGGAACGCAGACGCGTCACCGGGGGACCCGGTCCAAAGGAGGGTCGGCGAAACCTGCGGCCGCTGGGAGCGTGGCCACAGGTTAAGCTGGTGAGCAGCGTAGCGAACAGCGAACGGCCACAGAAAATGGGGGGCATCGGCATGGATCATGGAGGTACGGGCGACCTCCATGACCAAGCCGATGCGGCGCTCAGCAACCCCATTCTGCTGTGGCGAGTCCGGCAACGTGTACGACTGGGTGATGCCCTCCGCACGACAGAACTGTCCAAGCCGACCAGAGGCGAACTCGCCGCCACGGTCGGAGTGGAGACACAACACGGGGAGACCGCGGTGGAGACGCGCAGCCACAACCCACGGGAGAAGAACGTCGGGCACGTCGGCCTTCCGCTCCAGGGGAAACACCGTGGTGTAGCGCGTGTAGTCGTCGACGAGCACAAGGAAGTAGCGCTCACCGCGCGGTCCGGGGACGGGGGCAGGGCCCCAAACGTCCAGGTGCAGGGTCTGAAGGGGGGCAGTAGCAGGACGCAGCGAGGAGGAGTGAGGAGCACGGCGGAGCCGACCCTCGACGCAAGGCGTGCACGGTGGCGCAGTCGAGGGAGGAAGGGCAGGGAGCGACGCGGGGAGACCTAAGACAAGACCGTGCTGGGACATGTGACGCAGACGTGGGAGAGCAGGGTGACCTAAGCGGTGGTGCCAGAGAAGGGAGGGGTGAGTGAGGGACCGACACGCGCAAGCTGCAGCGACCTGGGAGGACGCACCAACCGGGGGGGAAGCGGTGTCTAGGGTAAACAGACCGGACACCGGGTCCCGGGGGAACGTCGCAAGGGGGGAACCTGAGACAGCCTCAGAACAGACAGCGAACCGCTCGTGCCCGGGGAACGTGGTGGTGACGCTGAGGTCCTGGAGACAGCCGACACCAACCAGGTTCCTGGAGAACGAGGGAACGTGGAGGCCAGTTAGGGAGCCCGAGGGAACTGCCGGACAGGGAAGGGACGTAGAACTGCGCGCGACGACAGGACCCGCAGAGGGGTCAGCGAGAGAGACAACAGCAGGTGCAGCAAGCGGCGTGAGCGTGGAACGGTCGCGGAAGAAGCAGGCAGAAGCACCGGAGTCGAGAGTGAAGGACAGCGACGCAGTGGCGGAGGCCGGGGACGGAGCCGGTGCAGCGACTAGACTAGGCAACCTAGGCAGTCCTACGCCTGACCAGCAGGGGAGGCTAAGCTACACAGTGGTGCAACACCTAAACTAGAGTACACAGGGTAATAAGATCCAGCAAAACTAGAAGCGTCAGAATACAAAGCATGCAAAGCAGCACCTAGCTGATCCATGTCTAACTCAAAGATCGGCACGCCCTGGCGGAGCAGGCTGTGCCAGTCGGGGAGGTCCGGGGCCGGGCCAAAGCGACGACGAAAGAGATCGTCGAGGCGCGGAAACAGCGGGCAGTCGGGTGCGGGCGGCGGCACAGAGTGCCGCGAAGAGGCCCAGTCTGAAGCTGGTACTGGCAGGTGACAGCACCGGAGCCGCCGGTAGACGCCAAGCTGCGCGGGCCGCCACCACGGCCACTACCTCCAGAGGTGCCGGGCCAACTAGGCGGGAGACGGGCCCACTGGTGCGGCGACTGCTGCTGGGACGGTGACTGCTGCTGGGGCGGCGGCTGCGGCTGGGGCTGCTCCTGCTGCGGCTGGGGCTGCTGCTCCTGCCCACCA